TGTTTAGAATGCAGTTGGATTTGAGGTGAATATCAGAGATGATTGCTGTGTTTTGAGGACTGTTGGGTGGATATCTCCCTTGGTGTTTAGAAAGACTGTTTCTATATCAGCCATGTTTTATTTCACTACTGCTTTGATGTTAATGGTAGCATACATGCCCTTCGCTGAGTTAGCTGCCTGGCCAAGGCAAACAAGGACTATGTACCACTACACCATTTTCTTGGAACTCTCCATTTATTCTGGATGCTGCTGGATTCTCATGTTCTGGACATAGAGATAACCTGAATCCTGACCCAACCACATCCTGCATCAGTTTTCCATGGGAACATAAGAACAGGAGAAGGCCATTCAGTCCATCAAATCAGCTCCACCATTCAATGCTACCATAGCTGATTGAATACTTTAACCTTTTACTCATCCCGTCCCCAAAACCTTATGCACCAGTGGTAATCAGAAATCTGTCAATCTCTACCTTTAACATACTCAAAGTCTGAGCTTCCACAGCCCTCCATGACAGAGAATTCCAAAGTTTCATAAGCCCTTCAGTAAAAAAAATGCCCTCATCTTGGGCTTAAGTGGTATCCACGTTATTTTCAAATAGTGTCCTCTGATTGTAGACTCTCCTACCAGGAGATATATCTTACCTGCACCTACCCTACCTATCCCTTTGAGCATTTTGTAAGGTTCAATAAGTTCACCTCTCATTCTTCAAAACCTTGGAGAATACAGGCCCAGTTTGGCCAATCTGTCTTCACATGATGTCCCTGTTTACCAGACCACTCTTACTCAGCTTGACATTCTCTGACATTGGATTACAAGCTGTGCTGTTGTGAGGTGTGAGCATTAGGTGTTTCAGTTTCTGTCCCGCTGGTTCCCCAGGATATATAAGGAATCCATGAGGTGAGCTGTGAGGAAAAAGATTTTCCCTTGGCCAAACTCCAAACATTTTTTAGATGGTTTTTGAATTGAAACCTCCTGTGAATAACAGCAGAAAGGAAACCAACTGTTGCAGAAACTGTGATGGCTTTTATTCGATTAATTGAGTTGACTGTGATTTTGAAATATTGCAGTGCATGGTTAAAGGTGATTGCTTGCATGTGATAAGCATGTGCTCAGATCGCCACCTTGTGGCAATGTTGTCAGTCCAGCTACAGCAACTAAATATCGGCCAAATTATACTCACAACGTAGAATATAAATATGAAAAAAAATTTGGACTAAGTGACTCATCTTTTCAAAGACAATCCTCCCCATCCCCTCCGAGTAATCGTGCTTTAGTGATTCTGGTGTGCTGCAAGTGCTATTACTTGCGCTCGTTCACTGGATTAGAGCACTGCTTGGCTGGATGATTGGTTTGCAATGTGGAATAACACCAACAACGTAGGTTCAATTCTCATACTGGCTGAGGTTACCATGATGGTCCTGCCTTCTCAATCTTACCTGAAGCATGGCGAAGGTCAGGTTAAACTCACTGCTAGTCTTCTCTCTCTGAGAGAACAGTTAGATTCTCCTGTGGGACTGTGGTGACTTTATCTTAGGATTCTTTCACTTTGCAGTACCTCTATAATTAACTGTCAAGACAGGAGCAGTGAGAAAATTCTACAGGGCATGTTTGGCATCCTCTCTTCTCTGAACAGGTGAAGTAGGAGAACCAGTAGGCCAATATGTCCCTAGAGCCTGCTCTGCCATTCAATAAGATAGTAGCTAATAGGATTTCAAATCCCACATTACCATCTACCCTGATAACCTTTAACTCCCCTGTCTAACAAGAATCAATCTAGCAATCCCAGAATCTCTTTTTCCAATGTGGCATACTTATTTTGGTGCGAGTTCAGTTTCTTAGGGTTTCTCTACATCTAATTCATCATATTGTAAAAAGAATACAAAGCCCCCGCGTCACTAGCATTGACTGTGATTTTGAAAGGTTTAGTGAAGTCAGAAGTGACTAACAGCACTACCATTCATTAGGATTGCCCTCAGCTCCTCAAAAAATATTTATCACCCTTTTGACTATGATACTATTGCCCATTTTTGGAATAAATCCATTTGAGGTTCAGCTATTGTGCTGCAGTTAGTCACAAATTTTGTTAAAAACACACATACTGCTAGAAATCTCATGATTTCTGGGTTAATTAAGAAACTTTCAAAGTTCTTGGCAACACTTAGGCTTGTTTTTCAATGCATCCCTCACTTTCATAAACTGTCTTTTTGCAAGTTTTTTTTAAATTTAAGTCAGTAAACTGTAACTGCTTAAATAAAGCTTCCAACAGTTTCACATGCTCTTTCAGGGGTTGCCATAATATGAATAATCAACAATCTACACAATTAGGCACATTCATAAGTCTGGGCAATTTTTAAATCTAAAAGGTTGTACCAATGTTGAGTCATCCAAAGTAACGGCAACAAAAGTCGATACCTCTTTAAGTTCTTCGTCAATGAAACTTTCCCTTTCAATAGATCAATCTTAGTAAGGAATGAGGCACTATCAGCCATATCAATCTTAGGGTATGAAGGTTTATGTTACAGATTACAATCATATTAATGCAATATAAAATCTCGTCAACCTGAGTCTAATCTAACCCTAATCTAGTCAGTTTAGGAACGAATACCACCAGTAAGCTCGACCTGGTTTGACTGGGTTCAATCAAGTGATTTTTGAAGTTAACTTAAAACAACCTGTTCAGAGATATTATGGAACACCTCTGGAGTAGGTAGGACTTGAACCCAGGCCTTCTGGTTCAGTGTAGACAAGTAATTTTATAATATATATTGAAACTCTGTTTTCTCTTGATTTTTTTGGGTTAAATGATAAAGATGTTGCATTGATACGGATTCCCCTTTATCCACAACAGGCCTGGCTAAAGCTGTACGCTAGTGTATCTTTTATAGATGTTCTTGAATTTCCAAAGTAGACTCCTGTTGTCTTTCCTCCAAGAATACTGCAAACTATTTGTCCCATATTTCAGTATTGGCTAAGCTGATTGTAGGAGGTTCACTTTGCAAACTGTGTCTCTCCTTTAACCTTATTCTTTTTGCCTCTGACATGCTTACCACCGAGTATACTTGTTTCCTTTTATTTTCCTCTTGCTAATGCAATTGCTTTGACATAATACTTAACAGATTCTTCTTCCTCCTATGGTCTGGACTATCTGCCAGATGAGTCATTTTACTGACTCTCTTGTGTATGGACCACTGAATCTCACTTTCAGAAGTTCACCTAGAAAGGTAATAACAGTAACATTTTTTTTCCTGTTTCAAATGTTTTCGTTACAGCATATTTGCCTGCCCATTCTTTCATTTCTGCCTTTGAAATTTTCAGATGATGCTGTGTTACTTTGCATAATGAGCCTCTCTGGCAACATGGACATGTAACATTGAAGATCTGTCTTTCTCCCTCAATAACTTTTCCTTGATCAATTTTGATGGACCTCTTATCTCAAAGAACAATTCAAATGGACTAAGTCGAGTAGATTAATTTGCTGAATCTCTGGTGTCAAATAACACAAAATCCAAACCTTTATCCCAATCCTGAGGAAATTCACCACAATATGGTTTAATCATTCTTGAATGTTTTATGGTATCTTTTGATAGTTAAATCACAGCATGTCATTTCACAATTTCACAGCTAAATTGTTATTCTGTCACAAAAAGGTTTAGACACACAGCTTGATCCTTTGTCTCTATTTGTATTGATAGCTTAGAACAAGTTAAAAACTGAATTAATTTTTCCCACCTCTAATTTAATTGCAACTGTACTCAAAGAGATATGATCTGGAAACCGAGTTAATTCATAATTTAAGACCACAGTTACAAGGAAACGCTGGTGTGCCACTTTTGGTTTTGGTGACAGTCCTATAGTCTACTCTGCTGAATGATTCTTCAAAAAGTGGCACGAGTATCATAGGTGCCAGTTTGATTACATTAAGATTTTTCCCTCCAACTGATAGATGGCACATTTTATAGAACTGCGCCATATCCTTATGAAGACTTGGTTTCAACTGTAACTCCATCATAACAACTGCTTGGAGTCCCTGGTCTCTCTCATTTGTTAATCACCATAGTCTCCATACAAAAAAAATCCAATTTTAAAATTGAGCAATCAATCAGTTGAAGATACCAAGAGGGTTAAAATAATAAAAGAAGATAATTCAAATGGTGAAAGGAAGGTTTTAGGCCAACTCAGGGTTTAAGTGAGAAAATTACAGAAAGAAAGAGTATGGTCAGAAAGAAATCGTTTCATTAGATTAAGCCATTAAATTTCAATTTGACCAACGGAAATGGCAGGACAGAAGAAAACTTTGGGATTGCGCATTTATAGTCAAGGAAGGAGGCAAGGGTTTAGACTGATTAGAGAGCTATCAAAGCAAGAAAAATAAGAAGTATGGCAATTTGGGAAACTCCTAATTGATAAAAGAGGGTTGGTTAGCTCAGTTGGCTGGATGGCTCAATTGCAATGCAGAGTGATGCCAATAGCATGGGTTCAATTCCCACACTGGTGGAGGTTGCTGTGAAGAACTGAGGCAAGGTGACCCAGAGAGTAAACCACTACTGGTTGTCTCTCTCTCTCTCTCTCTTATTAGAGAGCAGCCTTAGGGTCCTCTGAGACAACGCTGACTTTACCTTTTAATGCTTAAGTGAAGTAATTTATTTCCACGAAGGACATTAAATTTACATTTATTAGAAAACTAGAACAGGCATTCATCCTCATATCATAGAAGGTATGGCATTTAAATAATATTTCAAGATATCAAATTGCCATATGGAATTTCAGAAATGCTAGAGACACTAACAAAAAAATTGGTTCTTTCAATTTTGCATCTGTAGACAAAATCTGCAATGTGTTAGCAATATAGCGTTGCAAGAGACGATAATGATATTTTCAAAATGCTAATAATCCTAAAAAGACAAGTTTAAATGCATAAGAAAACGTTATTACGTTTCATTATCAAATAGATAATGTCCTGGGGCTTTTTCTTTTGCTGCAAAAAAAATTAAGCAATATTTGTTGAGAACCTCTTCAGTACAATTTTATTCCAGTGGAAAATATGACAACTTATGAAGCTCATTTTTTCAAAAAAATACAAGCAACTAATACTGCAAATCCTGGAAATCTGAAGTAAAAACAGAAAGTGCTGTCAAAGCACTACAGATCAAGCTGCATCCGAAAAGAAAAACAAGAGTTAACTTTTTCAGTCTGATCCTTCATGAGAACACTGAAGATGTGTAACTAACCTGAAACATTGTCAACAGGGTGTGGAGCTGGAGGAACATAGCAGGTCAGGCAGCGTCAGAAGGGTAGGAAAGTTGACGTTTTGGGTCGTGACCCTTCTTCAGAACTGGGGAGGGAGAAGGGAGTTGGGAAATAAATAGAGGAAGGGTGGGGCTGGGGACGGTGATAGGTGGATACGGGTTGGGGGCAGTGGGGATAGTGGGGATTGGTCTGAGAAGATTGGAGAGAAGTTGGACAGGTTGTGTCAGTTCGAAGGGAAAGGGAGGATAGGTGGGACTAGGGGAGGGGAGGTGGGATGGTAATAGGTAGATGCAGGTTGAGGGGGTAGTAGGGATTGGTAAGCAAGAAGGATGGGGCAGATAGGTGGGGAAGATGATAGGCTGTGTCAGGTCAAAGAGGTGGGGATGACAGGGAGGTTCAGATGTGGGATGAGGTTGGGGGTGGAGAGGTTTTGGAACAGGTGAATTCTATGTTCAGGCCATCAGGCTGTGGGCTCCCAAAGTGGAATGTGAGGTATTGCTCCTCCAGTTTGCGTGTGGTGTCATTGTGGCACTAGAGGAGGCCCAGCATGGACATGTTATCAAGGGAGTGGGAGGGGGAGTTAAAATGGTTAGCAACCAGAAGGTGTTGTCGATTATTGCGTACAGAGCGCAGATGCTCCACGAAACGGTCCCCGAGCCTGCACTTGGTCTCACTGATGTAGAGGCCATATCGGGAGCAACAGATACAGTAGACCAGGTTGGAGGACATACAGATGAATCCCTGTCGGATATGGAAAGTTTGCTTTGGGCCTTGGATGGAGATGAGGTGGGAGGTGTACGGGCAGTGTAGTACTTCCTGCAGTTTCAAGGAAAGGTGCTGTGGGTGGTGGGATGAGTGGGGAATGTAGAGCGGGCAAGGGAGTTGCAGAGTGATCAGTCCCTGCAAAAAGGCAGATAGGGGCAGAGATAGGGTCATAGGGTTGGATTGTATGTGGCAGATGATGATATGCGGGATGTGGAGGTTGGCAGGGTGGTATGTGAGGACCAGGGGATTCTGTCTTTTGTGTGTGTGTGTGTGTGTGTGTGTGGGCAGAAGTGTGGGAAATCCTCCTTGACCTGAGGCCATCCATCTTCTTTCTCACCAACCCACCGCTCCCTACCTGCACTCACCTATCACCATCCCACCTACCTTCCCCCAGCCCCACCTCTCCTCCCTCTATTTATTTCCCAGCTCTCTTCCCCTTCCCCAGTTCTGAAGAAGGGTCCCAACCCAAAACATCAATTTTCCTGATCCTGCCCAACCTGCTGTTCCTCCAGCTCCACATTGCGGACTCTGACTCCAGCATCTGCAGTTCTTGCCATCTCTGACTGACTTATGACCAGAAACATTGACTTTTTTCCCCTCTCTCTTCACAAATGCAGTCAGACCTGGTGTGTATTTCTAGCATTTTCTGGAGTTATTTCAGGAAGTTGAGAGTTAGACCATACCATGATGAAACTTATTGAAACTGATCACATGCAGAACAGTCACTTTAAATGTATTTTCACCCTACAGCTCAGTGAAATAGTTAAAGAACTCATCCCAGAAGAGGCGTTCTATAAAAACCTGAAGTGGGAAGCAATGCATGAAATGGTCACATCACATAAATAGATTGCAAGCAGATAAAATGTAGAGAAACAAACAGTTTGGGGAATTTACAGCAAGAACAGAACCTGTCCATAAGACAGCTACCTGAAGTTTCTGAGCAAGTCAACAAATCTCTGAAACCTTACAAATATTAATATTTTGATTTAATAAATGTATCCAGGTTTGATGAAGCAAATGTACTTTTAAATCCTAAGCATCATTCAGTAACTTAAATCACCAGGGCCTATCACCCATTTTTTATTTCAGATTACACACAACACACAATACTCAAGATGCAAAGTATAGGGAATGGTTCACTGCCATTATGGTTTGTTCTGCCCAATGAAATCAGCTACCTCCAGTTTGTTCCAAATATATCGAGGGGTCATTCACATCTTTTAAAAGAAACAGGATGTTTCTTTGGTGCACATTTATAGAGAGAGAATAACTTCACCATTTTTAGAAGAAATCCTAAGTGTAGGCTGCCTGTAGCATTGACCATATTCCAGAACTCCCCCTCCAAGTAATTTGAGCCATAAAGTGTACAATCACACTTCTGTTCATTCAGGTTAGGAACAGGTTCTGTTGCCTCATTGAGAAAGCCCCTTCCCCTCATAAATTAACATGGTTTTAACATTTTTGCCTTTCCCAGAACATTACAGGCTTCAGGTACCTAGTTGAGTGTATATATTAAGATAGGTGTGTGGGAGAGGCTGAATGCATAAATGGATTACCTCCTGTCCATCGTTTTTACACATTTGTGGCCCTGTGAATTCAATAAACTCAACTGTTTAGGTACAGCCAAGATGGGAAGAGAGAAAGTTAAGGGAAAAATACCACTCATGGTTCCTGTTACTAGGAACATCAATGATAGATGGTGCGAGATATCAAATGGAAAGCTTTGCACTCTGCTGCAGCATCTCACATGACTGGAGTTTGTCAATTTCTCCATACATTATGATTTGAACAGTATAGCCAACAACAGCTGGCGCTTGGTAAGCAAAACAGAGACAAAATAGTGTTTTGTTAGGCAGGATTGTAAAAGGAAGAAGAAACTGCAAAGAAAATGTTAACTTGAGAACTATTTGCATTTTTACCCCAGGATGCATTTCCAACAGAGAAGAACTGTTATTGAAGTCAGTAGATGAGGAGTTAGAATGGGAAAGGTTTCTCTCAAATGAGCATAAAACGGCACAATTCTTAAATACATGTTTGACACCAAATATTAACTATATTAAAGAAGCTTCTTTCAATTAAAGCAGTCAACTTGACAATTAAAAAATTGCACACCTGATGTTCAGCCACGTTCTACAATATTTCACCTAAAAAGGAGTATGCAATCATTTAAAAGCAAGGTTCCAATAAGAACTCATTGCTCTTCTGCATCATCATCACTTCCATCGATGCTGCTCTCCGTGGATAAATTTTCTTCAATCCACTTCTCTTCTGCCTTTTCTACATCAGACATAGAATCAATCACATCTTGTTGTTTACTGTCTCCAGAAATCACTGCATTGTCCACTGTAGTTTTTGTATTGTCCTCTGAAGGCGCTACAGTGTCCGCTGATCGTTTTTTATCATCTTGTGAAGGTGTTAAACTGTCTGCTGATTGCTTTCTATTGTCCTCAGATACTTTCATGCCATCCTCTGGGGGAGCTGAGGCTTCTGACGATGCTTGGCTGCTTGCCTGTGTGGGCTTCTGGTCATCAGCAGACTTGCCTGTGGATACGTCATTTTCCAAAAATGATTCCCATGATTTCAATCGGTCTTCTCTTTCTTTTACAGTTTCTTCAATCTGGAAGAATTTAACATTTAATTTTTTTTTAAAACAAGCACTTCATAGATATAAGACTGTTTAGAAATGAAGTAAACATCTTGCTGCTTAGATCAAACAGAAGTAGTACAGACAAGTATGTTTATTGCACAATGTTTAAATTTTGTCAAGTAAAAAGATCCCAGTAATACAACCTCTTTATTTGGAGATAGTTTAAAATATGCTCTGGAACTAAACGTTTGGATCAGAAATGCCCTGCCTGTGTGGATCAAAGATGGTTTTCTACAGCAATACATTGGAGGAGAAAACTAGAGGACACGCTATTTTAGATCTGGTATTATGTAAATGAAAGAAGGCAAATTAACAATTGTTTTTTTAAAAAAAAAGGCCTTTAGGGATGAGTGAGCACAATATGAAAAAAAAATTTTACATTCTGAATGAACGAATTGATTACGTGTATTTTACAGTGGGAAGAATAAATTAGTGAAAAGCTTTTCCACTGCCAACATTATCTGATACCATTTTGAATAGTTTTAAGAACAAGAAAAATAATAGCAAGATATAGCTTAAAGAGATCCCATCAGTCCTGAACCAGCTCATCAACTCTTGCACCACCATCCCTTCTCCATTGCCTCGCCGCCATCGATATCAGCTACATTCTGTTTACAAGTGAGGTAGCTCAAACTGAACCAAAGTTATTAAATTTGAATAAGGAAAATTATGAAGGCACGAAGCACAAATTTGCCAAGACGGATTGAGAAAATTAAAAAGGTATGACTGTACAAAGGCAATGGATAGACTTTAAAGAGCTATGACATGACGTACAGCAAATATGCATTCCTTGAAGGTGCAAAAACTCAAATCAGTCAAGGGTGGCTAACAAAGGAAGTTCAGGATAGTATCAGATTAAAAGAAATGGCCTATAAAGTTGTCAGGAAATGCAGTAGTTCTGAAGATTGGAAGGTTTACAGAATACAAAGAAGGACCAAGAAATTAATAAGGAAAGGAAGAGTAGAACATGAATGTGATCTAGCAAAAAACATAAGAACAGATTGTAAATATTTTTGTAGGCATGTAAAACAAAATATAATGGATAAAATGAATGTGTATGTGTGTCCATTATAGCAGTGTCAGGAGAATTTATAACCGGAAAGAGAAATGACAGGGCAGATAAATGGTTATATTATGTCTGTTTTCATGAGGAAGTCAACAGGAATCTCCAAGAACTAGAGATCCAAATGGCTAGGGTGAATGAGGAGTTGAAGGAAATTGGTATTAGTAAGAAGATTGTTGTGGAAATATAATGCAGGTGAATGTCGATACATCTCCAGAACCTGATGGTCTACATCCCAGTGTTGAAGGAGATGGCTAGAGATAGTCAACTCACTGGTGATTATCTTTCAAAACAATGGGCAGGGAATCGAAGGATAGAGACCATGTGCACAGATGGGATTATGTTAGAATGGCATCATGGGTCAACACAGACATGGAGGGTCAAAGGGCCTGTTCCTGTTCTGGACTATATTGATTCTGAATCAATTCTTGTGGATTGGAAGGTAGCAAATGTCACATCTATTTAAGGGAGCAATAGAGTGAACTGAAAAACAAAATTGCTAGCTTCACACTAGTAGGGAAATCATTAGAATACATAATACAGAATTGGAATGATAGACACCTAGATGATCATGATCTGATTAGAAATGGTGAGCATGGATTTACAAATGGGAAATCATTTGACAAATTTGTTGGGAAGTTTTTTTTGTTTGGAGGATGTTACCAACAAAATTGATAAAGGAGAAATGATGGATGTAGCATACTTCGGTTTTCAAAAAGCTTTTGACAAAGTCCCCCATAAGCTGGTTAGGAAAATTGAAGCACAGATTAGGAGGTAATGCACTAACATAATGAAAAAATGTCAACAGGATGTCAAATTTGTTTGTTTCTAATTCAGCCAAATTAATATCAATCTTTCCTTCATACCTGATAATCAACAACACCATCCCATGTTTCAGCGGTTATCTGGCGTCCACCAAACCATCTTCCATTAAGCATCAGGATACACTGATCTGCTTGCTCTGGTTCCTTAAATGCCACAGAAGCTACTCCAGAAGGGTGTCTCTGGAAATTAGATCCAACATGAAAACATCTGCAATTTTTAATAAACTTATTTTTCTTTACAGTTCATGGGATATGGATATGGGTTGTCCATTGCAAATTGCCCTTGAACTGAGTGGCTTGCTCAACCATTTCAGAATCTGGTTAAAAGTCAACCACGTTGCTGTGGGTCTGGAGTTACATGTAGGCAGGACCAGGTGAGGACATTAGTGAATCAGAGATTTTTTAAACTACAATTAATAATAGTTTCATGGTTGCCAGATTTATGGAGATTAAAATTCCAACAGCTGCTCTGATGGGATTTGAACCGGTGTCCTCAGAGCTTTAGCCTCTGGATTACTGATCCAGTAACACAAGAATAGATGGCGGCAACTGAGCCCACTCCACCATTGCATACAATCATGGCTAATTGAACACTTCAATGGCCTTTGCCTACATTATCCCCATAACAATCAATAACCCTTTATGCTTGGTAATTTAAAAAAAAAGTTTTCACAGCCCCTAGGGCAAGAGAATTCCAAAGATTCACCACCCTCAGAGTTAAAAGGCACCCCCTAATTTTTAAAATATGCTCCCTGGTCTAGACACCTTAACCAGGGAAAATACATTACCACCATTTAGCGGGTTTCAATTAAATCACCTCTTATTCTTCAAAACTCGAGAGAACACTCAACAGGCCCAGTTTGCCCAAATTTCCCTTCATAGGACAGTTCTGCCGCCTTGGGAACAAGTCTGGTGAACATTTGTTGCTCTCTTTCTACATTAATATCTTTGTTGATATAAAGAGATCTAAACTGCAAACTGTACTCCAACTGCAGTCTAACTAAGCAAATGAAGCAAGACTTCATGATACCTGTATTCAAAACTTCTTGCAACAAAGGCTAGCTTTCCATTAGCCTTCCTAAAAGTTTGCTGCACCTCTGCGTTAGCCTTCCATGACTTATTGACAAGGGCAAAGTCCCTTTGCACATCAACACCTGCAATTTCTCACTGTTTAAGAAATACTCTGCACATCTGTTCTTCCCTCCAAAGCGGAGTAACCTCATTTTTCTGCATTATATTCCACCTGCCATGTTCTTGCTTATTTCTTCACCCCCCCGACCGGAGGATTTAGACTTCTTTCTCACAATACCTCCTGCTTAGCTTTGTCTTGTGCAAAATTTGGAAGTATTACATCTTCTCACAATGTGCAAATCATGGATTAAGAAAGTGAACAGCTCGAGCCCAAGTACTTAACCTTACAGCACCCCACCTTGCAACTTCATCGATATTACCCTCTAACAATCCACACAAATAAACCATAATCATGTAAAAAAAAATCTGATGCTTTTTGAACAAAAATACTTACATCAAATACAAGTACTTTTTTGACTTGACCAAATTTTTCACATTCTAGTTGAACATCATCTCTGATCTCATTCAAAACCAATGGATCCTCCTATAAAAAGTTTGAAAAGTTAGTAAACTTTAAAGGAGTCATATCATTGAGACTAACATTTTCTCCCACTGATTTGAGAATTCTTGCTGCATACAATTACAAATAATTAACAGTTAAATACTACTATTTGTAGCATTCCTCATTTCTGCACAGCCAATCAGTAGGAGATCTCCCGTTTTGATAAGACAAATCCTCTGACAAGCACTATTCTGCAAGCCATCCCCTTTTCATTTTGTTTCTACACTAACTTGAAATATAATGAAAATACAAGTCACATCAACTTGTCCCACACATGTTTAAGTTTGTAAATAAAAAAGGCAGATCCTTTCAAGACCACCCAAAACATTTCGAAAGGAGGAGGGGGCAGTTTACTTGGAGGGGAGATGAAAATTCAGTTTCAGGTAAAACTCGGTATTAAATTCTCAGAATATTTCAGTCATCTTGGGTTTCCTGGCTGTTTTCTTCAGGAACCTCATGTGCATTCATAAGCATGCTTTGAATACTCATTTACACTGCATCCCACAGAAGTTACAGAAAGCAAGAAAACTGAATCTGCAACCTAGCCATATTCAAGTGTACCTGATGAGGCGGACCTCTTCCTAGAAGCTCTGGTGAGTACACACCACTGTAGTGATTAATAATCAACGTGCTTCTTCACCCAAACTGTTATAGTGCAGGGAATGCAGAATGCCCAGTCCACCTGACTCATGAGAAATCTCACTCATAACCAGTCTTTGAAGACCTTGAGGCCTATTGTTAACAGCGTAAAGGATGGACACTGTGGCCCAAATACCCTGCCCAAACTAGGTAACCATATTAGCTGACACCATGCAAATCAGACTAGAGAAAACTCAAGTGAAGCAATACAGAGGCAGAGGTGAGAGTTACTGTGCTATGGATGAGGTAGGTTCTGAAGTGTACATCAAGAATGTTGAATGCAATGCAGTCATGAGATGTGCTGCAAAATATGAAAGGTAAACAATTTTGTGGTGCAGTGGTACTGTTTCAACCCCCGGACTGAGAGGCCTGGGTTCATCTCTAAACAGGATTTTTTTAGGTGAAGGGTAAGCAAATTAAATAAAGATTGTGTCCACCCTTATCTTGCAGCAGAGAGCTGGATGAGTGTGGGTTCAGGATGGAGCTCAGGAAGGGCATAGGAAATCATGACTGGGGCATGTAACAGAGGGAGACTGAAGCATGACACAGGGGACAACAGGGGAAAGACAAAGACCATCCGCAGCAATGGGGAAAGAGTGTAGGTTAGAGGGGGAGGTTGGAGAATGTAGGAATCTAAAAGGAAAAAATTATGTGCATCATCATTTTCTTCAGTCAGGTCAAGACAGAATCCCTTCCCGAGTATGCAAAGTAGAAGTTGGACAGGCCCTAACGTTGGTTTGCACGGGTTCCTGTGCAGCTCAAAATGTGTGAGAAATTAAACAGAAACTGAAAAACAAAAATGACAGTGCACACAGTGAAGAACTGTACACTGAAACAGGCACTCAATGCAGCATTACCGCTTACAGTTTCGGGCCCCTCGTAACACCAGCATCCAAACCTGAATGCATAATACACAAAACTCTGGACTGACAAGTTTCAATCAAAAATATTGGTGGCAGGGCATTTGGTCTATGTCAAGCCTTGCGGGAGCCTTTAATGGGCCGTCTATCAGAACATTTTTGAACAGGAGGGTGAAGCATCATAAAGTGGTAAGATTGCACGGCTCTTTCATAGGGGATAATGAAGGCCCCCAGGAGTCAGAGTGAGCCAAGTGCCTCATGCTCAGAATCTTTATTATGATGCTCAAAGCTACATGTTACTTGCACATGACTGAACGAGTAACTAGATAAGCAATCATGCAACATGGGCCTCACCATGTTGAGGTGGCTGCAGGACAGAATTTTGTTTGAGGGACCAGCTCAAATCAGGGGCCCAAAAGTTTGGTTGACTTTTGCAAATTCAGAAACCAATCATTTCTTTCCTATAATTTGCTCACTGATACTCGCCATAATGCAAAACGTTCAGCCAGCTAAACCCAACAGCTGTTCTAGCTTTGGTGCACTGACAAAGATGAAAGAGAAATGCCCAGATCTTCCCGCAGCAGACACACAAGGCTTAGGAGCTCAGCTGTGCCACATCAAACATGGGAACCAAGGCTGTCAGCCCCTTTCAGCAGTGTACCATGGGAGGATGTACCAAAAGCAGCGCAGCTACCTGTAGATGAATGGAAACGAACGTTGTAGAAATCTTCACATGACTAGGGACATCAACATTTACATCTACCATCTCTTCAGGAAGATCAGCAGCCACATCACAGTATTGAACATCCTTGCTAAATGTTCCTTTCAAAATGCAACTGGGGACTTCTGTGACATTTCCCAATTGGCCACTGACAAATGCATTTGTTTGTTCACAGCTGCCACATTCAGGAAAGCACTATGTTTTCTGCAGTTGACCACGGACCCTGAGAACCAAGGTGCCTGAGCTGCCAGAGATCCCAGCAATGCTGTATATTTCAGATCCAAGGGGCCATCAATTACACACATGCAGCATTTGGAGCTCCCTGGCATCTTCCATCCAGCTAGATTCCAGAAGGCATTTCACTAATTCAATCTCAAGCTTGTTTGTGACCACAGGCAATATATTCCTGCAGGTATACTGGCAGTGAAAGTTCACTCCCGCACATCACCTTCAAGCTGGTTCATGGGCAACCAGAAATATCCCAGTTGGCATGGCTAATGAACTTACTCCAGGATGCTCAACAGAAGTGCAATACCACTCATGTATCCACTTATCTCCTCAGACAAGGAAGAATAGAAGTCCAATGTAGATGTTGAGGGAGGCAAAACTGACGATGCTGCTAAAGAAACCAGGGCAATGGTGAAATATGATAGGAACGAGAGAACCTAATAGCTGCGAGATTTGAGACTAGATGACTGGACAATCTTAGGAGGATGCTCAGAGACTGCTGTAGTTGACAGGTATTTCTGCCCTGAAGAGGATATTTGATTTCTAAACAAGGAGTTACCCTCCTTGTTTGATATTCAAACACAGTTGTTTTATTTGCATGTTCTACATTGAACTCCTGCTGAGCTAGCATGAAAACATTACTTCCCATCTGTGAAGCAGATCACAGAAGAATGCCTCGGGAATTTCTGCTTGGTCTAGGACATCTCCAGAGGTGAGTGGAGGCGACAAACAGAGACAGAGCCAGAGCCTGATGTTCCTGGCTTGCAGCCAGTGAAGTGCTATCCAGATGCCCTTAAAAATATTGCTCCCACATGTTGAAGTCTAGGAAGTCCCAGGGGAGTACAAAATGACAGATATAGTGTTCAGATTAGAGATGCAAAGAATATAATCGCAGGACAATACAAACTGTTTTTAGGCCCAATGTCACAATTAGCCTCTAAAAAAGAAAAGATTCTGCCCAAGGTATACAGAAGATGCACCAACCAATGCTATAAATATTTTGAAGATTTTTTTTAAGCAGAGGACAGAGCAGAGATCGGGTACCTCAATCATGCAGGCTTTTTTTTTAAAACCTTGGAAAAAGGTCCTGATCAAGTGTACGTGTCAAAGTTGAAGAAAATAGTCTCAAACCCAGGATATTTCCTGGTTTGGCAACTTAACATTGTTAAACTTTCAGTCCTCTGACCGGAGTATTTGATTAGATAATCAACACTCCTTTGAATACGAAGAATTCTCTTGTTGGCCCCATCTTATTCAACTAGCTAAAGATTAATTCAAGATAAATTCAAACTAGAACAGATCAGCTGAAAACACTGGGATAAAAGTCGATATTGAAACAATGTGGGAGGCTTGTTGAATACATTTATGTAGCCTATTTTAAACCAACGTCTGATACAATTAGAGGATAATAATGGTTACCGTAAATCCAATTATGATTTAATCCTGAAACTGCATAAAGTCACTCATTCATACTATGCCTGTACCCAAAAATGAATGTGCACAGTCCATCTGCGTGCCTCGACTTACCTCAAAGTCCTTTGGATGAAACATGTTCTTAAGAATTACGACTCGTTCACATCGTAATCGGGAACTACCAGGTTTTCTTTCTGGTCTCCAATCCAGCTGCCTAACAACAAAGAATTCTGTTTGTCAAAGGAAACCTGCCTTAAAGACCTATCTATATACAAGTAGAGTTCTGTATTGGCATGGATCCACACCACATAACGTGATAAAAACAATTCTATTTGAAGGAGAGAATGAACATTTAATAGACAATCTTTTTGATGTTGCTTGTGGTCAAAATGGAGAGCTTTTTATGTCAACATGTAGGAGGTCCAACAAATGACAGTGCAGTACTGGACCTAATTCTGGGGAACCAAGCTGGACAGGAGTTTGAGGTAGGATTGGGGGAACATTTTAGTGATAGTGACCGCACTGCATATTTTAAGTTTATTATGGAAAAAGAAAAAGATGATCTGCAAACTACAATAGCATTTTGGATTGGGAGATGTAGATTTTATTAAAACAAGGCAAAATCTGGCCAAAGTAGTCTGGGAACAGCTACTTCTGGAGGAGTCTACAACAGAACCAGGATGTACAAAAAGGAATTGGGGAGAGTACAGGCCCAATGTTGGGTACTATGTAGGAACAACAAACCCTAGAAAGAAAAAAAAAAAAAAAAAAAAAGGTTTTTTAACTGGTACAAAGGGCGTGAATCAATGAAAGCCCTATTGGAGTACAGAAAGTGCAGGGAGGAACCTTAAGAATGCAATTAGGAGCAAAGAGGGGGCATGAGAAGGTGGTGGCAGGTTGAACTGCTATAGTCCATCTGCTGCAACTGAGGAGTCCAGGATTTTGGTTTCATAACTGTGAAGGAACAATCAGACAGTCCCAAATCAGGATGGTGTATGACTTGGAGGGAAATCTGTAAGTGGTGTTCCCAGAGGAACACCTGCAGTAATGAATGTCCTGGGACTGAAATGATTGGCCTCAAATACCAAAACCATTTTCTTTTAATGTTTGGTAGGGCTCAAACCAGTGAAATGGATTCCACTTGTTCTCACTGACATCGGTTTTGTCAGGGTCAACAACTACTTCCATCACTTCACCAATGGAATAGTATTTGACTGGATTGGATTTGTCCATTTTTTTGGACAGGCCATATCTGGATAATTTTACATAATACATGCCAGTATTGTTTCTACATTACGAAAGCTCAACTTGGGAGGCAGTTCAGGAGCACAAGTACTGTAGTTGGGTCACCACTTTACTTTAGATTTCCAGCATCAGTAGCAATAGCATTTTGCTTTTATATTAAAAAAATAAATTATTTTCTTAAAAATGTTGAAGCAATAGGTTATCAAGTTTCTTCTATTAGAAGACTAGAATAACCATAGCATTCAGGTCTCTAATGGACTTAGGAAAAAATCATACTTGAGTTTTTAAAAATCACTCTTGCTTTCATAACTCTGGTTATGTTCTGTCCCACCAGCATGACAGATACAGTAGGAGTGGCAGCACAGTGATATACAGTCAGAAGGGAGTCGCCTTAGGAGTCCTCAACATTGACTTTGGGTCCCATGAGGTCTAATGGCATCAGGTCAAACATGGGCAATGAACCCTCTGGTCAATTCTGATGTATCACTCTTTCTCAGTTGATCAAACAACACCTTCAGGTTGAACACCGCTTGGAGTAAACATGGAGGGTAGCAAAGGGAATGAACTCTAGCTGAAGTACTTAAATATCCATCATCGAGTGGCTCAGTAGCACCACAACACAACTCAAGCTGGGTGCATACACAAGGATATAGCTGCTCGACTAGGCATGCTGCAAATGCGAGGAAACCAACAAGACTGAAATAAAGAGTAGACATTGTCCTCACAAATCTACCTGCAGCCGATAGATCTGTTCATGACTACGTAGATAGGAGTGAGCACTGTACACATACTTGGAGAGATAAAGTTTCCTCTTCACACTGAGCATACTACTCATTGGGTTGTGTAGTGCCATACAACGCAAAATGGGATTGAATCAGAATAGATGTAACATTTCATAACCAGGTATCACGAGATGCTGTAGGCTGTCAGAAGAACAAGACTGCACTTAACAACAACAGCAACGACAAGCTGTAATCTCATGACTTGTAGGTGAAACAGCAGTAGCAGCACTTTATAGAGCCAAGAAATTCCATAACTAATGAATCAAATCACAGCTCTGCAGTCCTGCTACATCCTGTTGAAGAATGGTGGACAATTAAACAACTAACAGGGGCAACAGCTCTACAAATCTTCTTATTCTCATTGACCAGGAAGCTCAGCATATTATAAATAGAAGTCAAGGCTGAAACATTTGCAGCTGACTTCAACCAGAATTGCCAGGTCAATGATCATTCTCGGCTTTACCTTGAGGACCCAGCAACACATGCCAATGTTCAGCCAACTCAATTCGCTCCACATTTAAGGAACAAAATCAAAGCACTGGTAAATACATAGGGGACAAAGAGCTATTTGTTAACTAGCCAGTTAGTTCTTACTGAGACAGAGGGCACTCTGTCAAGAGCAGTGCATGTCAAAATTAGACAGTTGATTAAGTAGAATAAAGGGATCTCATTAATGGGGATAAGAAGGCTTTTTTTTCTTGCTTTCATACAGGATTCTTTGAATGGTAGTTAGATTTGATTATTTCTATTATGTTGTTGAACTGCTGTCTGAGAAATCTAACTCAAAGACTTGTATCTGGTCTTATCCTACTTGTGTTCAGTTTTGAAGAGAATAGAGAAGGACATGGGGGAAGCAAATTACAAAGAAAACTTATCTAGCCTGGAGCACAAGAGTTCCTATCTTTACATTCCCCAACTACTTATTAGAAAGTATAAGCTTATTCCTGAAGGGCATAGCTTCTGATTGCTATTCTTTACGTCCAAGATGCTGACCTGGAACTCAAGGGCAGAGTCATTTACAGCTCAGGAGGGCAACACTTGGCCAAATGAGTATATACCAGCTCTCCCCAGAATAATCCAGTCTGTCCAATTCCCCATCTCGATTTCTGAAGACCTGCAAGTTTATTTCCTTCAAGTGCCCATCCAGTAGCCTTTTAAAATCATTAACTTTCCATCTCCAGCACTCTGATGGGCAACAGGTTTCAACTCATTACCACTTGTTGATTAAAACAAAATCTCACCATATTGCTCAGAATCTCTTAACCAAAACATTAAAATGTGTCCCCTATCCTTGTCCACTTTATCCAAGCTTGCTGTAATCTATAATGTGAATACGGTGAACAGTAAATCTCAGATGATTACTGTCAACAGCAACTCTGCAGACATAATTAAATAAGTGTAAAGTTTCCCAATTAAGGCATAACTTATGTTAAGTTACTTTTTCTGCAGAAGCAACTTCTTCTTGTAATCTTTGCTTTTCTTCTTCTTTTTGCTGGCATCATACTGTCCTTTCATCTCAAACTTTGCGGCTTCTACATGTAGCTTATATCCCCTCACTTCAGTTTCGTCCAAAAATCTGACAGCAAGGTCGATAGATTCTTTCTGGAATACAGAAAAAAGTTGACAAAGAAGGAAAATTGTAACGATAGCCTTTTAATATGAAGAGATTGGAGATGCAAGAACAAATAAATCTTAATGTAGTTATATAGACTTTTGGCGAGTCTACACCTGGAGCGTACAGGTAGGAACATAGCAATTACAAGTGGGGGCAGGAAATTCAGCCTTTTGAGCCCACTTCACCATTTAAAATGATCATAGCTGATCTTATCCTGGTCTCAACTGCACTTGCGTGCCTGCTCCCCAAAGCCCTTTATCTGCTTTTCTTCAGAAACATATCTATTTCTTTCTTGAATTTGTTGATTGATTCACCTCCACTGCACTCTGTGGCAGTGAGTTACACAGATTCTGAGAGAAGTGGTTTCTCCTTATCTCAGTTTTGAACCTACCTCTTCCTAATCTATATCTATGACAACTTAGTCTCTTTAGTCAGAAAAAGAAATACCTGCCTTCGATGGAATGTTACAAAGATTCACTAGGCTGATTCTATGAAGGATTGTTGTACAAGGAGAGACCAGGTAGACTAGGCTGATACTTCAAATTTAGAAGAACAAAAAAAAAGTGATCTAATCAAAGTATATAAAGGCCCAGATCCAGAGACGCATGTTAGAATCCTTTAGAGGTTCCACTGTGCTGACTCTATAGGAATTTGCTGGGAAGACTGATCTTCCGATGGGGAATTTCCCTGTTCCCTGGCAATCTACAGACAAGTCTCCAACTGTGAGTTAGAGTTGGAGTCTCTGGACACTTCTGACATACTGGATATTTACCTAGGAAATATTAAACACAAAAATGTTGTGAAGTTGGGTGGAGTATTTGTGGATTGGAAGGAAGGAAGTTAGAATTTTGTGTTTATAAAATGCTGGGGGTGGGGGGTGGTGGGAGTGGTGCATGGTTCCTTTAAAAGATGATGTGTTTTTTCAATGCTTAGACATTCAAAAAAAGGACATCTGCAAGCAGTAGCTTTGTTTTGTTATCAAGACAACAAGTTTTGAATTTAGCCAATTAATCTGAACCAGGCACCCAGGTACCAAAAACCAATTAAATTTAAATCTGATGGTTTTGACAACATAGGACCAATCCTATTGTAAGGAATATTGATACATCATCAAGGTTATAAAAGAAGGGGCAGTGTTTCGGTTTTAGTTATCGCGGGAGGGGCAACCTCCGTTTTATAATAGACTGGGGGCTCAGATCCGGGCTTTGGATGGGATGGGACAGATTGGGTCTGGGATTAGGACAGATTTGGGGTACGAAAGGTACCAGCAGACTTAAACAGATTTGGGGATTTGTGTCCTAGATCTGTAAAACTTATGTGAGAAGTGGAAAATCTGTGATTTCGGTTGCTTTTTGTTGGTTAAATCAAAACTGGGGAAATGGCTCTTAACATTGCTAAAAACGTTCTAGGGATTGAAGATGCTTCCCAAATTTGCCAAGAAAGTTTAGAAAGACAAAAAGGAGATGCTTTTAGAATTAGCAGTCAGGCTAGAATTGGGTTTAACTTGGGATAAGAAGAAAGCTGAAATTGTAATGGAGTTAACCAAGCATTTAGGTATATCAGAGAAACAGTCAAAGGCAGTAGAGTTAGAAAAATTAAATTGCAAATAAGACAACTGGAGTTAGAACAGAAAGGGAAAGAATGTTGGAGTTGAAAAAGATGAAGTTGGAACTCAAAGCAAAAAGACTTCAAATGGCAGAAGTAAAATGCCAGGGGGGGGAAAGCAGTGCATGGTCTCTTTAAAAGATGATGTGCTTTTTCTATGCTTAGAGAAGTGATGATGAGCAAATTCATCATAGTCTTCAGCCACATGTGAAAAAACAGCCCAAGAGGTGGAAAAGAGGTGAAAGATGTTTTCACTGCAATAAGGTAGGACAAACAAAGTCAGAGTGCTGGTGGATTAAGAGAGGCACTGGAAAAAAGGAAGTGGTAAAAAAGGCTAAACCATTGGGATTAGTCGAGGTAGTGAAGGAAATCCCAAGAGAAGTTGAGCTGCAGAACAGTGCACAGCCTAGAAAGTAAAACAGTGCCCGATCTTTTCAAAGACTTCACCTGCGTGGGTAAGGTTTACTCAGGTAGAACAGGGGGAGTAAGTAAAGAAGTTAATATATTTAGAGATATGGGAGCTAGTCAGTCTCTGATAGTGAGAGATGAAAATATTTGTACTCCTTCTGAAATATTGCCCAAGAGGGTGATAATCTGTGGAATAAATGGAGAAAGAATTAGTGTTCCCTTGTGTAAGATGTGGCTAGAAAGTCAATAAAGACTGGGGAAGTGATAGTGGGACTGATTGAAAAATTGGCTATTCCAGGAATACAGCTTGTTCTTGGAAATGATATAGCTGGATCATAGGTGGGAGTGATGCCCATTGTAGTCGAGAAGCCGAAAAAAAAAAATCAGGGAACTGAAGAGTTAAAAGGAAAATACCATAGAATTTTTCTAGACTGTGGTGACAATATCCTACAGCCATAAGGTAATACAGAAAGGGAAAACAAAAGAGAAAGATGAAGGAGTTGAGGTCCAGCTAGCTGACACTCTGATGAGATGGTGAAGGAAAAAAATCTAAGCAGGTAGAGGTCTTTAGTTGTGAAGGATTAGAAGGGTTACAACAAAACGATGAGACAAGAAAGGATTTAGATCATAAAGCCTACTTGGAAAAGGAATCAGAATGTATTCCAGAATGTCATTAAGAATAAAATCTTACGGCAGAAATGGGGACCTTGGCAGGTTATTGCAAATGAGAAATGGGCTGAAGTTCACCAGATTGTGTTGCTGGTAGCATACAGACAGGAATTATTGTGGGTAGCACACAAATTACCTGTAGGTGGTCATCTAGGAGTGAGGAAGACTCAGGCTAAGATACTGAAGCATTTGTATTGGCCTGGATTCCATAAAGATGTGGGTGAATATTACTGTACCTGTCATATGCATCAGGTGGTAGGAAAACGACAGACAGTAATAAAACCAGTGCATTTGATGCAAATTGCCACATTTGAAGAACCTTTGATGTGGGTCATGAATGATTTTAAGGAGGGGACACAACCAAAAATGGGAACCAGTATCTGCTAATCTCAGTTTTAGTTATCAGAGGGGGTCAACCTCCACTTTATAACACTAAACAACTGGCCACTCCCATTCCATTGCACCCAAAACTCATTCCTAGCTTCCCCAACTAGCCCCAGCCCCGGCCCAACACAACTGGGCCCATCACCTGACTCAACCTGATTGGACCCAACTTCCTCCTACTGAACCATGTGACTGCCCTGTAACCAACTCTTCCTGACATGATCCAATTATACCCTACCACCCAATGCTGCTCATACAACTCCTCCACGAACTGACCTAATGAAGCCTGGGCCTGTCAACACATCCTGACTAACCTGGCTCTCCCACTCAATTTCCTCATTTATTTCCCACTCTCTTGCCAATTTTGTCATGCATTGCATCAACAACAGGTAGACTAGTGAAGTTGATGTCCTCATCTTGCTGATTTTGTCAGGACCTGCTACAGACCAAGTCAAGCAGTTATGTCCTTTACGGATGGGCCAGCTTAATCAGTAGTGGTACTACTGAGATACTCTTGATGGTGGACAATGAACTCCCTGACCACTGGTGTGGTCTTCTGTGTCTTTCCCACACTCAATTTGTGCTCAACATGGAGTAGCATTGATTCATCATCTGAGGGGCCTTTTTTTAAAGCTAACTTATAAAAGTTCAGTTTCACATGCAGCCTAATTGCTCAGACATCTCGAAGTCAATTTGATTGGAAGTTGTGAATGTCTGCTTGGTACCCAAGGCACACCAGAAGGAAATAACTTATTTTTTATGTAAGTGGTTTTTATCTATAAAAATGTTTAAATATTTGAATATAACAGCCAACTCAGTTTAGTGAGAAAGAAATTTAAAACCAATAACTTTCAGTTTTTAATATTATTTAGAAACAGATCAGGTACACTTTCTCATTGAACTTCAATTTCATTTATAGTAACAAAGCTAACTCCATTTCCAGGCACATTAATGACTTCCTTGTAAAACTTGGTAGAAGTAATGATTCAACATAAACTGGATAATTGAGAAAGGAAGAAACACCCTTTAAGCATCTGTAACAAAGAGCAGCACATACTAAAGTCCGTATCACCAGTCAAATAATCGTGTACCTTCAAGTAGCAGCAGAGACCATCCCCTTTGAGATTTCCATCTTTGTCCTTGTATAATTTAATCTTGTATTCTTCTGTTTCAGGGTTTTGCATAATGATTCCAAATTTTGACATGAGTTCCACAAATTCGTCATTTGTTATGTCTGGAGGCAACCCTACAAATGAGAAATAACTAGTTTAGAAGAAATGTCCTTCCAGAATTCCAGGTGAAAATAAAGTTTTGACTATGCAAGAGCATTTCCGTTCTACCATGTGGTAATACACTGAAGCATGCAACATAGTGAAGTAGCATGAATAAAAGATCATGCAAGTATACTTCAAAGAAGCCATGACATGATCTTTAAAATCAATAGCTTATTGCTTCTACTTTATCTTGGCAACTAAAGCTTAATGAAGTGCTCAAAATATAAGAGATTTGCAACATAAAAACAGTGAGATGATGATGGGTAGCCAATTCTTCCCTTGAAAATATTAATGCTCTTCTGAAATACACCAGAGATAGAATTCAAATCGACCAGAACAAAATCTAGGTCAATACTCCACACCTCTGCTAACAGAACTGTAGGAGGTGCCTATTTTCAAAATGACCAAAGAGGCCTTGTCTTCCGTCTCCAATAGATATCAATATATTCATAAGCCTATGTTGAAGAACTGCAATGGCGTTCAGCCTGGTGTCCCGATCCAAATAAATCCCTCATCTAATATTATTAAAATCACATTATCTTGTCACCTTTCTGTTACTGTTCAACAGCAGGAATACTTCTAGTTAATTTTGGCAACAAAAGCTTAACAATGTGTTCAAAATATGACCTAATAGACCACTGCAGTTTTAGAGGGAATTCTTGATCTACCTGCTGCTCGAGGAGCATTCAACATCTTGCTTCAGCTTCACATAGCAGACATTTGTCCAAAATAAATATAAGAAACTAAAAATTTTAAGGAACTTTGTTTTGTGACAGATTCTACATTTCTTATAGTAAAGAAACCCACGTTCTCTTACCTTTGCATGCAATTCAATTTCTTAATAAACTTAATTTGCAAGTTGGAGCTTTATATATACACACAGTCAGCCAGTAGAAGACTGTACATATATTTATAGTGGCTACCCAATTTAAAGAAAAGCACTGTGGTTTTTCATCTAAGTCAGGTTACAATAAAAGCATTATTCCAGTCATAATGAAGGAGACTTGCCTCAGAAGTGTACCTTTGAACTGGCTACTCAAAATGCATGTGCAAATCATCAGAATCATAATAGTCAGCCCATCATGGCAAAACTAACCCAATCATACAAGTGATTTGTTTTGGTCAACTGACATGCAGTATTCAAATCAGTACTTACCAGACACATACACATTTGTGTTCCTCTGCTCCTCAACGTCAATCCAGCCTTTAAAAGACATATTTGCATTATTAAATATAAATGAAGCTATATAAAATAGAGGAGATATACAAAACGTTATAAGGATCCTAATAAGTACTACCTGCTGCATGAAAACCAGAAATGTATGAAACTGAGCAATGGGGAACACAGTTCTTCAAGTATTAATTCAGCATCTTTACAACTTTAAAAATGTCAGAATCAATTACTTTAGGACTATGGTGAAATAAATTATTAGAGTTGGTGAGACCAAGATTTGTCACTTCACATGGGTTGCAGCATTAAAACTGAAAATTTTGCCTTCTACTTTTCAAATTATTTATCTAGGTGAGCAAATTGCATCATTTCATTATCAGAAATATGACATGTAGACAATACTTTTTGCCTGTCATTTTTCAGAGGTTGTTCAATTACATTTGTATCCATCTCAAGAGACAAGTTAAAGACAGCAATACGAAATTGACAAGTCAGCCTCACAAATGATTTAATAAAACTGTTACCAATGTTAAATTAAATTACAATGGGATGCTCCAGTAGATTTGTTTGAACTGTTATCACTAATGCCAACATTGTGATTATTGGAATTAAAATTCAATAATCCATCAAGAACAGAGAAAAGAACATGCAGTCAACATAGCAACTTCCACAATTGAAGGGTCTAGGCCCGAAACGTCAGCCTTCCTGTTCCTCTGATGCTGCTTGGCCTGCTGTGTTCATCCAGCTCTACACCTTGTTATCCACAATTGAATCATTGAGATCTACAGCACAGGGAAGGCATGATCAAAATCAACCACCTACCTATTCTAATCCCATATTCCAGCACTTGGCCCATGGTCTTATATGCCTTGGCACCGCAAGTTCACTTTTAATACTTCTTAAAATGTTACAAGGGGTTCTGCCTCTACCACTCTTAGCAGTGTGTTCCAGATTCCCACCAACTACTGGGTGGGAAAGTTTGTCCCCACAATTCCTCTAAACCTTCTGCCCTTTACCTTAAATCTATGTCTCCTATTCATCCCTCCTTCAAGGGAAAGTTTCTTCCTGTCTATCCTATCTTTGCCCCTCATGATTTTAAAGTTCTTGTATATTACAGCCAATTAAATATTTTGGATGCAGTTGCTGTTGTAACCTGGGGAAAACCAGTGAGTACTTTCAGGACAGGTGAGGAGAATTATTTCTCTCAGAGGGTCGTGACACTTCGGAAATTTCTGCCCCTGAAGATGGTGGAGGCAGGATCGCTGAACATTTTACAAAAGAAATAGACAGACTCTTGTTAGGTACTTACACGTGTTTGTACATTAATCAATTTGCGCAGTGTCTTCATGTACTATAAAGTACAAGTATTTAACTGTAGTGTCATAAACAATATTTGACATTGCCACATTAACAGGTATTAGGGCAAGTGAATTTGAAGGAACATCTTTAAAAAAGGAGAAAACAGTTGGGACAGGTTTAGGCAAGGAATTCCAAAGCTCTGGGCCTTGTTGGCTGAAGTCACAGGGATGTTCCAAAGGCCAGAATTAAAGGACTGTAGATATCTCAGAGGGTTGAGTGCCTGAAGTAGATTTAAGACATAGATGGGGACAAGGCTATGGACACATCTGAAAGTGTGCAAGTGATTTCTAAAATCAAGACAGGGAAGCAATACCGGTCAATATGAATGCAATCATTTCATTTCAGGGTCAAATTTATGACCAAAGTTGTAAACAGCGTGATTAAGCCTCAAACTGTTGCCAAGGGAAGGGATAATGTTTATGTCTTGAATTACAGGTGCTCATATTGTATCCTAAATTATTTTATGAATAATCAACTTTGCATTTTAAATAACATTTTAAACAACATTGCATTTTATAGAATTAACACTACCAGGTTACATTCACTAACGTTCCTGAAGATGAGACTGGCTGAGAAAAAAAAACACCAGGCAGAGAAAATACACTAGTACCAGTAAAATTCAAGAGGGACTTCTGTAAACTCTTAAAGCAAATTAGCTACAAACAACCAGGGTTTCGCAACAAAATCAACGCAATAGTGAACTGATCTATATCCACACAGCACACACCAGTGATCTACTCATGTACCTGTCTAGTCCTTTAAATAAGAGATAGTAGGAACTGCAGATGCTGGAGAATCCGAGACAACAAGGTGCAGGGCTGGATGAACACAGCAGGCCAAGCAGCATCATAGGAGCAGAGAGGCTGACGTTTCGGGCCTAGA